TTAGGCAGCTCAAATATTTCTTGGGAATTAAGGTTGCCAGATCTAAGCAATGTATCTCTTTATCGCAAAGGAAGTATGTCTTGGATCTTCTTCGAGACACGGGTATGCTTGGGTGTAAACCTGCTTCCACTCCTATGGATCCTAATATGAAGATCTCGGTTAAGTTTGGAGATCTCCTTTCTGATCCCTCGCAGTATCAGCGCTCGATAGGAAGACTGATTTATCTTACAAACACCCGTCCTGATTTGGCTTTTGTTGTTACTGTTGCGAGTCAGTTTATGCATGCTATTCGTACAGCTCATATGGATGCGATATATCATATTCTTCGATATCTTAAGTCCTATCCTGGACTTGGATTATTCTATTCTTCTAGCAGGCAGGTTGGGTTATCTTGTACTATGCTAGGTCCAAGACAGACGTTCCACATCTAGCTTTTGTAATTTTTATGGAGAACATCTTATATCCTGGAACATTAAGAAGCAACCTGTAGTTTCGAGATTTTAGCAGAAGCTGAGTATCGTGCCATCGCCCAGGGTACCTGTGAGATTCTATAGCTTTGATCTTTCTTGGAGGAACTAGGGCTAAGTAAAAAACAGTCCCTAACCTTATTTTGTGATAATAAGTCAGCCATCATGCTTGCTTTAGATTCTGTTCTTCATGAGCGGACTAAACATATAGAGGTGGACATTACATTTTATCAGAGAGAAGGTTCGTCCGGGGATTATCAAGCCGTGCTTTGTTTGGTCATCTAATCAGTCGGTAGCTGTGTTCTCCAAATCCGTTGGTCCATCTTTGCTTCATTCCTCGATTACCAAGTTGGACTTGATTGATATCTTCACTCCAGCATGAGGGGGAGTGTTTAAATATCTGTATTATTATTATTTTTATTTTCATTAGCCGTTTTTAGCATTTTATTAAGTGTTTTATGTAAGATCCCAATTATCATGGGATCACGTAGATTTTGCATATTTCCTGTTTTTCTTTGATTTGGTTTCCTTTCTTTATACCCTATTCTTGTGTATAAATATAGCTCCGGGCTCTCGGTTCGAGTACGCCAAAACCCAAAACTTCTTCTCTTTAAACGAATAGCTACGAGCTTGACCTTCTTGTAATCTGGTATCTCATGGTATTCAAAAATTCTTTCAGTGGCATTTAGCCAATCAATAAACTCCTCTGCCTTAAGACTTCCGTGAAATTCAGGAATCACAATTTTGATATTCGCCTCCCTAACGATTATCGATCCGATCGTTGGGTGATCTATGGCAACGCGAAATATAAAACGGATGTTTCGCATAAGTTTTGATGTTGGACAGGTCATCCTTCATCGGAAAGTTGCCATCAACTGGCGGGTTGATAACATGTTGAGCCAATTGCTGGTTCAACATCTCAACTTGTCTCTCCAGATTCTCAACTTCGTTTTTGACTCACTGGGGTAAGGGCTTGTTCAGACATTGCATCCTACGACATTCTCTTCTCTTTTATTGTCATGGAAGCATAATTAAGCAGTCGGAAAGCCGAACCTATGCAATGCTACCAAACTGGTGCCGCCTTACCAAGAGAGGACAAACAATTGTCGTCTAAAGTAAGAAAGAAATAAACGAAGAAGGAAAAGAATGCTAGAACAAGGAGGAAAACAAACGAGCTAACAATCGTTGCTGCTAATCTATTAAAAAATAATATTAATCACCCCTTCTCCAATACCCTAGCCACCCTTTATATAGAGTCTTCTAGTAATCCTACTATAATTGGCTTTATTACAATAAACGAAAATTAACAAAAATCTGAAATTACTTAAAATCAGCAAGTTTCCAAAAATCAGAACATGGAAAGTTTCCAAAAAGCATAATACGGAAAGTTTCAAAAAATCACAAAGTTGATAAAATCATTGACTGCATCAGCTACAAGCTGAGATCAAGGTACTGTCACACCCCGATTTCCCCAAACCCGGTCCATAATAAAAGAATAAAGATATCAAAAAAATAATAAAATAAATGAGTAAATAACAAATGATCTCTATCACCATTATTATACTCATTTATTTTATTATTTTTTTGATATCTTTATTCTTTTATTATGGACCGGGTTTTGGGAATTCGGGGCTTGACAACATGATATCAGAGCTTGACCCAGTCGGAAGTGTGCCGACGGGGACGTCGAGCCTCCAACGGGGGTGGATTATGATGACCCTGTGGGCGGGTGTGCAGTGGGTGAGTGTGGGACACTAGTAGGCTACCACACTGGCGAATTACGAGTGCACAATCCCACATCGCCTAGGTAAGGGAAAGGTGAAGTGTTTATATGTAAGTGTATCACTCCAATTGGTATGAGGCCTTTTTAGTTAAAGTCCAGAAGCAAAATCGTGCGGGCTCGAGCTCAAAGCGAACAATATCATACCATGTGGTGGAGTGGGTCGTTACAAATGGTATCAGAGCCTGACCAGCCGGAAGTGTGCCGATGGGGATGTCGGGCCTCCAAGGAATGGATTGTGATGACCCTATAGGCTAGTGTGCCGTAGGCAGGTGCGAGACACTGGCAAGCTACCACACTGGTGAGCTACGAGTGCACAATCCCACATTGCCTGGGTAAGGGAAAGGTGATGTGCTTATATGTGGTTGTGTTATCTCCAATTGGTATGAAGCCTTTTGGGGTAAAACTCAAAAGCAAAACCATGCGGGCTCAAGCCCAAAGCGGACAATATCAGAGCTTGACCCAGCCGGAAGTGTGCCGACGGGGAGGTCGGGCCTCTAAGGTGGGTGGATTGTGATGACCCTGTGGGCGGGTGTGCCGTGGGCGGGTGCGACACACTGGCAGGCTACAACACTGGCGAGCTACGGGTGCACAATCCAGTAAGGGAAAGGTGAAGGGTTTATATGTAGGTATATCACTCCAATTGGTATGAGACCTTTTAGGGTAAAGCCCAAAAGCAAAACTGTGTGGGCTCAAGCCCAAAGCGGACAATATCATACCATGTGGTGGAGTGTGTCGTTACAGGTACTTAGAGAGCGTTATACTGAGGATGTTTGTAGACCCGCACCCCCAGAGACTTCCACAAGAGCTGTTGATGATGATGAGAATGACTTTGATGATGGCAGTTCGAAGGGTAATGATAGAGATGATGGTGGTGATGAGATTGTCACATCCAAAGTTCCGTTTGATGGGGATGATTGATTTGGAGATCATTTGTTTTGTTTAGGAGACTGACAACAAATTTTTTTTTGTATTCAGTTTTGGATATTTTGATTCATGATGTGTGCTTACATGTTCATACATAGTCATACGCATCATGATTTATATGATCTTTCCGCTTATGTGCTTGAAATTCTTTTTGCCATAAATGACTTGATAAGTTCCTGTGTAATCTGCTCCGTGTTTTTCTTTATGCTTTATCTTCTACCCTTTTCAATTTGTTCCAAAAAGGGGCAAAAAATAATGTGACTTTCACATTCAGGGGGAGTTCAATCACTAACGTTGTTTTATCTGGATTAAGCTTTGATTGGTATTTTTGCTTAATCTTTGTGCAGAAAACAGGTTGGAAGAGTTCATTGAGATGATCAAAAGCAGTTGAAAGATATTCAAGAGAAACATTATGCTACTTAATTCTTTGACAAGTTGTAATCTTTCTTTTCTGCTTGGGTAGGTTATAAATTTGATTTTAGGGTTTTGTCTCAAAATTGACTAAGGGGTAGATTGTGTGATATAAAATTTGTAATTGGCAAATTTCGTTGTCAAGACAAGTCCGAACGAGTTGTAATTTTAAGTTCCAATTTCAAGTTCGAGATCGAAAGCGAATTGAAGAGTTGTTCGTGATCAATAGCTTGACGACTTCAAAAAGGGTAAGAACAACACTTTCGGATGCCTAGTTAGAAGGTAAGGATACTAGCATGTTTTTAAATAATTAGCGTTGCCAAATTTTTTTAAGCATAAAGCCTTCAGTTCAAGTCTGGCCAACTTAAACCGGTTCAAGAGCAACTGAACCGGTTCAAGTGTTAAAGTTTTGTTTTTAAAATATCACATGCTGGTTCATGGGTAGCTGAACTGGTTCAAGTTCTACAATAGTTTTTGGTAACTTTGTTTCCTACTCTGTTTTTACTTCCTATTTTGTATAGACTTTCTCCTAAAAGCTTATGCACGAAATTTCCTTATTTTCCAAGCACAATTAGGGTTTCAAAAGTCTATAAAAACATATTTTCTCACTTAAAGTTGTGTGGCTTTTTGCATTAAAATTTTGATTTTCATTAAGAGCCTTTTTGTGAGATTTTAAAAAACATACACACTATATACACACGAGTGAATTAGGGTGTTGCTCAGATCCTGATTGTGTCCAAGTCTATTGAAGATTGTGTCTACAATAATCAGAGAAAGCAGATTTTATTTCTTCTACAACAATTCATATTTGAAAAAGAAAAATTTCCGATCATACTTTGAAGGGATCAAGGCGCTTGTGGCGTGTTATTGATCTACCAGCAATCCTTCTACAAGGTTCGAGGCATAAGTCTGAAGTTGAGAGCTGTTGGGACGGGAAGTCGCGAAGCCAGGGGCGTTCAGCGGATTGAGTCTTGGTAGAGTGAAGGGGTTTGAGTCTGAATCAAAGTTCGGTGTACTTTGCTTCATACATAGTGGATCGGTTTTACGCTTGGGATAACGCACAAAACCTTGACGTTTTCTAATTAGTTTCCTCACTAAAATCCGATCCGATGTGATTCTACACTTTACTTGCTTTTAATTTGTTTGTGATTGACCAATTAACCGGTAATTTAGTAGAGTAGAATTGGATAAAGAAACACTTGATTAATCCCTCTGAAAACTCTTTTTAAAACTCAACTTTCCACAACCTTTTCCACTGCACAACTCACACTGAGATTTCTTAAGTACCCACTGCAACCCCAGTATGCTGTAAATTACATTCTCTTATTCTTTCACTTGTTTTCCATGACTATAATATAGAACTTAATGTAATAATACTAATTAAGATCAGTGTTGTTGTAGGGCAATGAGTTTACCTGAGAAATAAAACTTTCATGCAAGGATTCCAGCTTATGAGGGATGAGGTGGTCTACAAAATCTCCGTGTCCCAGTTGCCCATACTTGCTCCACCCATACGTGTATAAACCACCAGATGAAGAAACAGATATTGTATGCCGCCATCCACAGGCTACCAAAACCATCGTCTCTCCCTGCAACTATAAACTATTACAACCTGGAATTGAAAGAATAGTTTAAGAGCAAAAGTGTACATAGAGAGAAATAAATATGAAGCAAATATATAGTGGAACTCGGAGTCAGCTTCTGCTGAAAATTTCAGATACCAAGCAAAAAGCTTTTCTATAAAGTACAAAAAAAATTAAAAAGTGAAAAATATAACATGTCAGGAGTATGTTGAAATCATCATAAAGACAATCTGTTAACGGAGATATGTTAGCTAGAATAATGGGATTTTAACTTACCATATTAGTCAAGCCTAAAATCATGGGATTTGAATTTATTTACACAAATTTTTAGGCATAGAATCTATAGTGATTTTATTTGGTTTCATTTCTTGTAACATTTAATATATGGTCTTTTAGTATATAAATACCATAACTGTGAAGGGGGTGATTATACTCATTTAAGCATACCACCATTATTCATAGTAAAGGAGATTCTCTGGCTTCGATCTTTCTTGGAGGAGCTAGGGCTAAGTGAAAAACAGTCCTCAGACTTGTTTTGTGATAATAAGTCGGCCATCATGCTCGTTTCAAATTCTGTTCTTCATGAGAGGACTAAACATACAGAGGTGGACATTCATTTTATCGGAGAGAAGGTTCGTTCGGGAATTATCAAGCCATGCTTTGTTCAGTCCTCTAATCAGTTTGCCAATGTGTTCACCTAATCCGTTGGTCCATCTTTGCTTCATTCCTTGATACAGAGGCTCTCTTCGATTGAGCTTCCTGGACTCTGTTCAATTGATTCATGTTATAGTTTCGATTGATTGAACCCGATCAGCAGTACGAGTATGTGTGTATAATGTTAAAATGGGTTACTTAATTATGAATTAGTCACTAACTAATTTAATATTCATATTATGTAAAGGTCGAGAGCTAGCAAAGTGGCCCAACCATAATAATTGATGAATATTAATTTTTGTAGTATACATAATTGCAATATTTCATGAATTATTGATGCTTATGATTTGTTGTTATGTTCGTGAAGATTGAGTTTATTTAATCATGAGAAATAAATTTCCAAAGAGAATCGATTTTCAAGTGATTAAATGAATATTATGGGATTGTATGTATTTTTTAATTTGGTAGTTATCGGATATCCTAAGGTAACTTATCTATTTAATTAAATAATGCATCATCTAATGAAGTTATACATATAAATAAAGTTAAGCGTCATTATTAGTATTTTATGGTTACTACCCAAAGGGGTACCATATTTATACAGTGTTTTATATTTTAAGTTAAATATATATATATTGTTAACTCAAAGCATTAATGTTGTGAGCATTTATCTTATTATGATTATGCTATTGCTGTATCTCTTCCTATTTCACTTGATTCGCATGCTACATCTGTTTCAATTCTCAGTAAGACTAACTTCTCATTATTGAGTGACTAAGTTCAATTCAACTTAGGTGTGTTGGATTTTGATTTAGCATTTCAAATTGAGAAACATACTGCAATTATTGATAAAAGCAGTGAAGAAGAAAGATTCTCCAGAATGCTTGGGAGAGATTGAACATATTAAGCATTATGTTTATGTGAATGATTGTTCCCCAAATTGATAGTGCTAAGGAATATTTAAATTAAAGAATATTTCCATATTGTAGATAAATATCTAGTAGGAAAACTAATGGTTGATCTCACTACTATGCATTTTAATGGTACTCGTACCAAGTATAATCATGTTCTTGAGATGACTAATCTTCCTACAAAATTGAGAACCTTAGGGATGAGAGTGGATGAGACTTTCCTCGTTCAATTTATTCTCAATTCCTTACCTACTTAGTATAGGCCATTTCAAATTCACTATAACACTATTAAGGACAAGTGGAATGTGAATGAAGGAGGGAAGGCTTAAGCAGCAAGGTAATCATTTTGTTCATCTCATGACTCAAGAAGCTAGAAAGAAATTTGGGAAAAAGCCTAGAAAGGGTACTAAGCGAGCACCACCCAAAATAAGAGATTCTGATCAACCTGGTCAAAAGCGGGAACGCAAAAATGGTAAGTGTCATTTCTATAACAAGTCTGTACACTTTCAAAAAGATTGCAAGAAATGTAAGGAATGGTTCGAAAAGAAGGGCAAACCTTGGGCTTTAGTGTGTTGCAAATCAAACTTAATTGAAGTTCCTTCTAATACTTGGTGGGTTGATTCAAGCTCTAATGTTCATATTTTTAATATGATGCAGGGATTCCTTACAACCCAAACCATAAATCCAAATAATGATTTCTTGTTCACAGGGAATTAGGGAGAAAATTTTAGTTGAAGCCATTGGAACATTTCATTTAATTTTAGATACTGGGTTCAGTTAGAATTTTTTTTTTTTCTTTGATAAGTAATACTGGTTTCAGTTAGATTTGCTTCAAAGTCTTTATGTTCATTTAATTTCCCGTAATTTAATTTCTCTGTCCAAACTTGATATTGACGGTTTCCTTTAAATTTGGTAATGGATGTTTCAATTTGTTCAAGAAATCCCAAATTGTTGGTTCTGGTATTCTTGTTAATGGTTTATACAAATTAAAGCTTGATGATTTATTTTCTAAAGCCCTTTTAACCTTGCATCAAAATGTTGGAACTAAGCGTAGCTCTCAGTTAATGAAAATTCATCTTTCTTGTGGCATAAAAGACTGTCATATATCAAGTGAAAGGTTAAAAAGATTAGTAAAAGATGGAATTCTTCGGAATCTAGAATTTACTAATTTTAGTGTGTGTGGATTGTATTAAAGGTAGACAAACCTAACACATAAAGAAAGGAGCCACAAGAAGTACAAAACTTCTTGAAATTATTTATACAGACGTTTGTGGACCTTTTGATGTGCCATCTTTTGGTGGAGAAAATTATTTTATCACCTTTAAGGATGATTTCTCACATTATGGATACATCTATTTGTTTCTTGAAAAATCTTAAGCAGTGGATACTCTTGAAATATACATAAATATGCTTGAAAGGCAACTAGATAGAAAAGTGAAAATCGTAAGGACAAATAGAGGTGGTGAATATTATGGAAAGTATGATGAAACGGATCAATGCCTTGGACCGTTTGCTAAACTCCTTGAAAGGCATAGCATTTGTGCTCAATACACTATGCCAGGCACGCCAAAGCAGAATGGTGTAATTAAAAGGCATAATCAAAGGCATAATTGTACTCTTATGGATATGGTTAGAAGTATTTTAAGTAATTCCTCGTTACCTATATCATTGTGGATGTATGCTCTTAAAACCACTCTGTATGTATTAAACAGGGTTCCTAGTAAGGGAGTTCCAAAGGCTCCCTTTGAACTTTGGACAGGAAGGAAATCCAGTTTAAGGCACCTGCATGTTAAGGGTTGCCCAGCAGAAGCTAGGATTTATAATCCACATGAAAAGAAATTGGATTTTAAAACGGTTAGTGGGTACTTTATAGGTTACCCAAAAAAATCCGAAGGGTACAGATTTTACTATCCTGCACATAGTACGAAAATTGTTGAAACCGATTCATTGAGAGTGAGATCAGTGGAATTGATAAAAAAAAAAAAAAAGAATGTGATTATTCAAGAAATTAGGGCACAAATCCATTTACCCGTAACTTCTAAAGATATAATTGTTCCTGTAATTGTTAAACAATTAAACTGCATAACAACGAAGAACAATTGAGTGATAAACAACTCCATAATGAGATTGTCACCAATTAACAGGTTGTAGAAGAACCACAAGGAATAAAATTAAGACGGTCTCAAAGAGAAAAGAGATCTGCTATTCCGAATGACTGTGTGGTATATCTACAAGAATCTATTTTTGATATAGGGATATGTAAAGATCCGGTTACATATTCACAAGCCATTAGCAGTGATGATTTTACTAAATGGATTAATGGCATGAATGAAGAGTTGAAATCAATGAAAGAAAATGAAGTACGGGAACTCGTTGAATTGCCTGAAGTATTTAAACAAGTCGGGTGTAAATGGGTCTTTAAGACCAAACACGACTCTAATGGCAATATTGAACTATATAAAGCCATACTTGTAGCCAAATGTTTCACTTAGAAAGGAGGCATTGACTATAAAGAACCCTTCTCTCCGGTATCTAAGAAGGATTCTCTAAGAATTATTATGGCATTAGTAGCTCATTATGAAAATAGTCTTTTTGAATGGGAGTTCAAAAGAAGAAGTCTATATGGAAATAGCCTTTTTGAATGGGAGTTTAGAAGAGGAAGTCTATATGGAACAACCTAAAGGCTTCACATTAGAGGGTAAAGAGCACATAGTCTGTAAACTTAAAAAATCAATATATGGATTTAAACAAGCTTCCTGACAATGGTATATTAAGTTTAGTGATACTATTATTTCTTTTGGGTTTAAGGAAAGCACTGTTGATCGGTGTACATACGATAAGGTTAGTGAGAGTAAGTTTATATTTACAATTCTATATGTTGATGATAATTTGCTTGCTAGTAGTGATCTTGGTTTATTGCATGAACTAAAAATTATCTCTTTAAGAACTTTGAAATAAAAGATATGGGTGAGGCATCCTACGTGATAGAGATGGAAATATTCCATAATAGATCACATGGATTGTTAGGATTGTCTCAAAAAGTATATATTAAAAGAGTTTTAGAAAGATTTGGTAAGGACCAATTCCATTTTGGTTTCCATTTTTCTATTTTTTTTGGGGACTTTTTCGAATTTTGGTATTTTATTTTTGCTATGTGGGGACACATGCCGTGGGTTTTCGGGGCTCATTTGGAGCGTTTCTTCAAGTTTAGAACCCTTAGAAACTCATTTGGAGCCATTTCAAGCATATTCGGTTTTCATTCCCGGGACCAGGTTTTTGTGCTCGGGAAATTTCCTAGTTTCATTCCATTTCATTATTTTCGTATTGACGTGTTATATATACACATATATGTGACTAATTATGTGAACATGGCATGGTTGTAGTTGTAATTACATTTGGAGGGTATTTTAGTACTCTTTTGCAAATGGGAGGGACCCACAA